GACATCTCTGCCAGTTTCTCCCCAAGTCCAGATTCAGCGTCTGGGCTGTTATCAGGGCAAAACCCGCTTATCACACGGGGGTGGGGTGGGGTGGATCTGAAATGGAAACCGCACAGTCTGTGCCACTCCCTTATTACACGGACTCCCTTCTCCTTGGCTTCCTGGGCTGTTCCGTGGTTCTGGGGACGATGGGAGGAGAGGGGGGGTTCTGCTTGTGTGTGTCTGTCTGTCTTTGTGTCTGTGTGTGTATATATCGTCCTGTCTCCCTCCCTCTCTCTCTGGCTCTGTGTATCTGCCTCTGTGTGTGTGTGTGTGTGCGTGGAGGGGGGTTACATCTCGCTGTATTTTAGTTTCCAGGTGACAACAAATGAAGTCGTGCGAGGTGTGGAAAGGTTGGGTGTTTCATTTGCAGGACAGTGCGGCCTGCTGTGCACGCCGTACAAACACAAAGGGAGGGTCATTCTCAGCGTATGGGGGAAACTGAGGCACGGAGTGATGTAGCAACAGGCACAAGGTGACCTAGGGAGTCTGTGGGAAAGCTGGGCATAGAATTCAGCACCTTCCCCACAAGACCTGCCTTCCTCCCACACAGTGTCCTGGAGCAGGGGAGGAGGGTGAGTTGGGAGCCAGGATTCCTGGGTTCTTCCGCCAGCTGTGGGAGGGGAGTGGGGTCTAGTGGTTAGAGCAGGGGGGCGGGCGAGTTGGGAGCCAGGATTCCTGGGTTCTGCCCTGGCTCTGGGTGGGAGCTGGAGGGGAGTGAATAGCTGTGTGTGCAGGAGGGCACCCCCCCCCCGCCCCGCAAACCGGTGCCCCAGCCCCCAGCCCATTGTCTGGCCGGATGGGGAGCTATTTAAAGCAGCCCAGGCCAGAGCCTCACTCCCCATCAGGTGGCCTTATCAGGAGCCTAAGAGGCTTCCGGCTTCGTAGCCTCAGGCTTCCTGCCTCGGCTTCCTGTGCTGCTGCCCAACGCAGCCCCGCGCACTGCACACAGCCCCACCCCCACCCCCTGCCAGATCAGACCCACGGGCCCCTCTACCCCAGTATCCCGCCCTGGGTCACATCCACGGGCCCCTCTACCCCGGTATCCCGCCCCAATCAGACCCCTGGGCCCATCTATCCCAGTGTCCTCCCCTGGGTCAGACCTATGGGCCCATCTACCCCAGTATTCCGCCCTGGGTCAGACCCACGGGCCCCTCTACCCCGGTATTCCGCCCTGGGTCAGACCCACGGGCCCCTCTACCCCGGTATCCTGCCCTGGGTCAGACCCACGGGCCCCTCTACCCCAGTATCCCGCCCTGGATCACATCCACGGGCCCCTCTACCCCGGTATCCCGCCCCAATCAGACCCCTGGGCCCATCTATCCCAGTGTCCTCCCCTGGGTCAGACCCACGGGCCCCTCTACCCCAGTATCCCACCCTGGGTCACATCCACGGGCCCCTCTACCCCGGTATCCCGCCCCAATCAGACCCCTGGGCCCATCTATCCCAGTATCCTCCCCTGGGTCAGACCTATCGGGCCCCATCTACCCCAGTATTCCGCCCTGGGTCAGACCCACGGGCCCCTCTACCCCGGTATTCCGCCCTGGGTCAGACCCACGGGCCCCTCTACCCCGTATCCCGCCCTGGGTCACATCCACGGGCCCCTCTACCCTGGTATCCTGTCCTGGGTCAAACCCATGGGCCCATCTACCCCAGTATCCTGCCCTGGGTCAGACCCACGGGCCCATCTACCCTGGTATCCTGCCCTGGGTCAGACCTACGGGCCCCTCTACCCTGGTATCCAGCCCCAATCAGACCCCTGGGCCCATCTATCCCAGTATCCTCCCCTGGGTCAAACCCATGGGCCCATCTACCCCAGTATCCCGCCCTGGGTCAGACCCACGGGCCCCTCTACCCCGGTATCCTGCCCTGGGTCACATCCACTGGCCCATCTACCCTGGTATCCTGCCCTGCATCAGACCTATGGGCTCATCTACCCCAGCATCCTGCCCTGGGTCAGATCCATGGGCCCATCTACTCCGGTATCCCATCCCCTCCCTGCCCCCCATATCAGAGCCCTGGGCCCATCCAGCCCATAGAGATGGAGAGAGGGGTTCATATGGGGATGGATCTATAGTGTCCGGTCACTCCATGCTGTACAGGGTTAGGGTGGTGATGCAAGGCACCCCCAGCACCTTGTGCCGAGCCAGGTGGCTTGTGCCCGCTGCCTCAGGGTATGGTACCTGGCTCCCCCCCGTCCCGGGCACACGTAGCACAGGGTAACCCGTGTCCCCTTGCTGTGCTTGTGTCTCCCTCAATTACATGGGCATGGTGTGTAGCCAACAAGGTATTTGCACCCCTCACCAGGCACCGCAGTGCCTCTTCCCCTGTGGTTTGAGTCACATGGGACCCTCCATGGTGTGTGGGGTTTCCAACATTGCATCTACCTGGTGCCACGGGGCTGTGATTGCACTGGTCATCATGCGCTGACTGTAGCGCAGCTGTCGGGCAATTGCACTGATTGTGTATGCTGCATTTGTGATGCACGCAGCACAGCTCTTATGCATTGGGTATGCAATTGCACTGCTTGTGCATGTTCTGATTGCGATGCACGTGCCACACCCATCATGCAATCGGTGTGCAATTGCACTGATGATGCATGTTCTGATTTTGATGCACACGGCACAGCTGCCGTGCAATGACTGTGCAAGTACACTCGTGCATGCTCTGATTGTGATGCAACTGGCACATTCATCGCGCAATGGCTGACAATTGCACTGATCATGCAATTCTCTGATTGTGATGCATGTGGCATGGCCTTGCAATCAGTGTGCAATTGCGTGGATTGTGCATGCTCCGGTTGTGATACGTGCGGCGCATCCTTGGGCATATGCTGACTGTGATGCAGCTGGCACATCCCTTGTGCAATGGGGCCACATTTGCATTGGTTGTGGAGTTTGTACTGCTTGGGCAGACATAGGTTGTGATGTGAATGGCGCCTCTGTTGCTGGGAGGGCTGACTTTGTGCACACAAGGGCTTGTGGGGCACGTGCTGCATCCGTCGTGCAATGCGGGGGCCACGATTCCACTGCTTGTGCGTGCACAATATGGGGCCCCTCCGTCATGCTCTGTGCTGCACGACATGGCCCCTGCTTTGGGCACAAGCAGATGGTTCCACGCATGGGCATCCGCGTCCGCAGGCCGCCTCACCCCAGATGGGCACCCAAAGCTTGTGAAACGTACCCCACCTGCCCTTTGTATGCCCCCTACGTGTGCTTTATGCCATTCATACACATGCCATGCCATGCCCCCTGTGCCCCATGGGCCAGCTGCATGGTACCATGTGCCCCAGTGGCCTTCTGGATTCCTGCGCAGCTCGGGCATCATCGGTGGCCCCTCCATGGCACCCCACGATGAATGGCTTGTGCCACGTGGGATGCCACCCTGCAATGTAGTGCATCCCCTCCGTTCAGCACTGCAGGGCTGGCACCAAGCTGGCACCATCCTTGGGCACCCGTCTGGTACCACGCAGGCACTTCCACGCCACGTCGTGTGGGCATTGTGCCGCTCATGCAACCTCGGTGCCGCGCACCTCGCCCCTCGTGGGGCACCCTCCGGTGTGCCTGCTCCAGGTGGGTTTTCCTCCCTTCCCTGGAGCCCCCCCTTGCCCCTCACAGCTCCTACCCGCCTTTGCAAGAAGGAATGCTGCCTGCAAACTCCGCACAGCCCTGTGTAGAGCAACAGCTTCGGGGGCGGGCGGGCACGGCAAGGGAGTAACCGCAGCCAGGCCCCCCTCCCCCCATGCTTGAGCGCACGATAACATCTTCAGTGCAGCAGCTCCGGCTGCAAACAAAGATCAGCCCAGCTCCCCCGAGACTTCTGCTTTCTGTGCAAAGAGCCCACACCCAGCGTGCAACCGTGTGTGTGTGTGTGGGGGGGGGAACCTAGAGGCAGCTCAGCTCAGAGCCCCCCCAGCCCTGCAGAAGGGGCGCACTTAGCAGGGGAGGGGGGGAGTCAATGTCAGTTCAGTCAGGCTGGGCTTGGGAGGGGTTCCCCTGGTGCCTGGGCCATCCTGAGATTCCTGCAGCTCCCACCGCCATCGCCAACAGGGGGCGTTGCAAGAGGGGGGCAGTGGAGCTTGCAGTGCCCACTTCTATCATCCTCCAGCAGGGGGCGCTGCAAGTGGTGTGGGGACCTCGCAGCTTGGGGCTTTGCTAGCTACAGATGGTGCATACAACCCAAGGCCGGGGGGAGGGGAGAGATTGAGCTATGAACCTGTGTGGGACCTCCACTCCTCTGCTTCCCTGCCTGTACCCGGGACTCCCTGCCTGTGCCTTCTGCCTGTACCGCTGCTGCTCTGCCTGTATCCGTGATTCCCTGCCTGTGCCTTCTGCCTGTACCACTGCTGCTCTGCCTGTATCCGTGATTCCCTGCCTGTGCCTTCTGCCTGTACCGCTGCTGCTCTGCCTGTATCCGTGACTCCCTGCCTGTGCCTTCTGCCTGTACCGCTGCTGCTCTGCCTGTATCCGTGACTCCCTGCCTGTGCCTTCTACCTGTACCGCTGCTGCTCTGCCTGTATCTGTGATTCCCTGCCTGTGCCTTCTGCCTGTACCGCTGCTGCTCTGCCTGTATCTGTGACTCCCTGCCTGTGCCTTCTGCCTGTACCGCTGCTGCTCTGCCTGTATCTGTGATTCCCTGCCTGTGCCTTCTGCCTGTACCGCTGCTGCTCTGCCTGTATCTGTGACTCCCTGCCTGTATTTTATGCTCGATCCTGAGATGCCCTCCCTGTTTGCTGCTGTCACCTCTGCACCTCTGTCTGTCCCTGTGATGCCCTGTCTGTACTTCCATGGGTGTTAGCACTTTCCCTGCCTGTGTTTTCTGCCTGTACTTCTGCTTTCCCAGGGGGCTACCTGCTTCTCTGACCTCCGGCCAGACTTCATGGCCCTTCTCTGCTCCCTTGGCTACAATGCGCTGAGGCTGCATAGCCCCTCCCTGCCTGGGCTGTCTCCACTTCTGACTGCCCAGGAATCCCAGTATCACAGCCCTGCTCAAGCCCCCTGTGGAGTGGGGGGAGGCTGGGCGCCAGGACTCCTGGGTTCTATCCCCAGCTTGGGGAAGGTCTTGTGCTTAGAGAGGGGGCTGGAAGCCAGGACTCCTGGGTTCTGTCTATCCTCATCTCTGGGAGGGCAGTGGGTTGTGGAGGGGACTGGGACATGGAACTCCTGAGTCCTGTTCCTGAATTCGCCATAGATTATGTGACCTTGGACAAGTTACCTCCCCCCACCCCATGTCTCAGTTTTTCCATCAGTCAAATAGATACAATGGGACGTAGCCACAGGTGTAGCCAACTGTACCCCCACACGCATTTCGGTGCCTTATGTATGTGTGTGTCTCTGACTGTACATTTTCACAAGCACCTTGGATGTGACCGACTGTACACGTTGCACATGGTTTTGCATGCACTGTGCAAGTGTGTCAGCCTGGATATTGGCATATGTTGGGGATTGGTCCTGCTTTGAGCAGGGGGTTGGACTAGACAACCTCCTGAGGTCCCTTCCAACCCTGAGATTCTATGATTCTATGATATGTGTACGGACCATTTATAGCTGTCTAAGGCTGCACAAGTGCATGTGTGTGTGGGTGTGTGAGACTGTGTGTGTGTATTTTGGGGGGGACTGTCACTGTGTGTGATTATATGTGTGTATGTGTCTGGGATTTTGTGTGTGTGATTGTCTCTCTGGATGTCAGGGTGGGTGTGTGTGTGATTGTCTCGGTGCATGCCTCATTGGCGTGTGTGTGGGTGCAGCATGTGTGTCCGTGTAACTGTACCTGGCCTTGGTGTGTCACACGGCCAAGCTCGGCTGCAGCTGCCCCAGGGCGGACGAGGTTCCTTCTGCCCCAGTCCCGGGCGGGGGGGAGGGGGGGTTTGCAGCCCAGGCAGGAAGCTGCACAGGGCCACTGAACTGTCACCTGCCGGCAACCACGCTCGGGCGCCGGCAAACAGGAAACGTCCCCTCCCCCCAGGACTAACGGCTGGGGACAGACACCACCCTGCTGGGGGCAGAATAACACCAGGGCACCCTGGCAGTCAGGGCTGGCCCCGATGCCCCAGCGCAGCATAGCCATGCTGTGGGGTGCAGGGTGGGGGCTCAGCAGCGGGCACTGTGCTGCAGGGAGTGGCGTGGGGTGGGTTCAGTAGGGGGCGCCGTGCTGCAGGGAGTGGCGTGGGGCACTCTAACCCCGCCA